AGTGAAAAAGTCGTTTGCAACCCACTTGCTTCCACGTTCTCCAAGGGTGTAATAACTAGTAATTCAGTTGACATACTCGACACACAAAACGCCAGCAAGCACATGGTAAAAAATAACTGGACATCCTACGCAGCGGTTGCTCCTAGAAAAACGCCGTCAAAGACACCTGTGACTCCACTTACCGGAGAGGGTAAAACCTCGCCTCAACATGGATCGCTATCGCCAGTGCGTTTCACAAATCCACAAGAGACAAAAGAACCTGGTGCTCTTAAGCCGCAAACCACAAGGCGGAATCATGGTGCCTTACGTCTTGTGTGCACAAACGTTCCTGAATCCAAATCCAACACAATAAGGGGTAAATTGATAGACGATCGTAGTCAGTGGGATTCCATCTGTACTGCCATCAGCATGCGCGCTGAACCCGCTACGCTGAGCCGCATCGCAGGACACCCAAACATCTTACACTATGGTGAGCCTCGACTACTTCGAGTAACACTGCATTTCGCGGAAGAAACGGAATCCATTCCGCTCGCTGCAAATGGACACCACAGAGCATCGAACGGAGTATGTACCTTACCGAATATTCCGTGGAAATAACTTTAAAAGGATATGAACAATCAACAGGGAAGTAGAAAACACGCGCTGAAAACTGTCATTATTTATGGCGTCCCCGAGTCTCAAGCTTCATTCCCTGAAGAAGCTCAGGTACATGACCTGGAGCAATGGCGATACATTCGTGAGTCGCTGTATTTAGAAAATGTAATTGCTACCTCCCTGAGCAGGCTTCCCGTGTCACCAAATTACCAAGGGTGTGGTCCTAGTTTGCTGAAGTTGGTCTTACCATCTGAGCTAACTTTACTGACAGTCCTAGAGAATTGGGGTGACTTCCGGTACATGTTACCAAGAGAAATTCGACTAAAAGCAGCAAGTTTACGACCAGAGGCTACTGGTTACTCCATGGAGAGAGCCAACTCAGTGGGAACAACCGTTGTTGCAGAGTCCACCACAGAGACTGATCTGACTGCCGTCATAGCCTCTGGCGAGACACTGCAGGAGGTAAGTGACCATCAGGATCATCATGAACTTGATTGCATGGTGCAGAGAGTTATTCCAAATCATCCTCGCGAGCCTAAGACTATTCAAAAAAGTAGTAGCAGCCGACCTCAAGAGGGTCGGCCAAGTCTCAAACCATTTGTCTACATCCACAAACAACCTTCTAACCTATGAATCACTCTCCTGTTTTTATACCAACGCGAAGATCTTTTAAGCAAACTGACGGAGCTTCACCTGCGTCAGACCTCGATGTCAAGGGACCTTGTTCTGATAACCGAGACCTGGTTGAATGAGGCGATCACTGATGCAGCAATCGCACTATCTGGGATGTCTATTCTACGCAACGATCGACCAAGTAGAAGAGGTGGAGTACTACTTTATTATCGCAGCGAACTACACATTGATCTCATCGATGACCCAGAGGTTCAGATTGTCGATGCGCTTTGGTGTCGTCTTCACCTAAGCCGTGGGGACGCATGTTTGTTGGGTGTGGTGTATCGCCCTCCGTCGGCTACTTTGGAAATGGACAACCGCCTAGCCTCCACAATGAAGACCATTCTCTCGCAGTCGTACAGCCACATTCTCCTGGTTGGTGACTTCAATATTCATACCATAGAAACCCCAGCCTGTATCAACGAACACTTCAAAATGGAAGTACAGGAGATAATTAGTGGACTACCACTCTACAATCACATCATATCTCCCACAAGATTCAGGACGGGAAACAAACCGGGTGTCCTGGATCTTGTATTCACCAATGAAGAGCTTATGATCGAAACAGTATCGATAGAGATCCTTTAAGCCGTAGCGACCATGAAACCCTCATGTTCAAGTACATTTGTTACGCAGAGTATTCCCCGGAAAACACCGAGGAGAGTCAGCTCATTAAGGATTACAGTGCTCTAACAAACTGGGCATTTCTAGTAGAAGGATCTCTGATGTCGCATGGTCTGAATTTGCGCACCAATTCAACACGTTAGTAACTAGTGCTTCTAGGACAAGACCTTCGCGAGCGAAGACAGTAAAATCATTCATACGCAGTAGGACACGCAAGTGTGTCGTCACGAGGAATTTACTCTGGCGAAGATACAAGGAGTCATCTAGTGCCGAAACATAGGAAGCCTACACTATCCAAAGGAATCATTGCGTAAACCTGGTGCGCGAAGATAAAATACAGTACCAACAGAATCTAGCCGAGAAATTCTTATCAAACCCCAAGCACCTGTACAGACAGGTTAACAAGCTCCACAAAGTGCAGCGAGGAATTCCTGCTTTACACACATTGTGTGGACTTGCACAAAACGCAACCGAGGCGGCCAACGCCTTAGGTCAACAATTCGCCCCGAACTTCCAGAGCACGACATCGCCGCATACACTGTTCCCGATCGTTGTACCACCACCAGGACTTAGCCACATCACGTTTACGACTGCGGATGTTATGAAAAGGCTAATTGCCTTGCGCTAGCATACCTCTCCCGGTGTTGATAATATTCGTCCAAAAGCGTTGAAATTGGCTGCAGTAAACCTGGCGGACGCACTCTGAAAGTTCTTCCAACGATGTCTCCATGAGATGCGGGTGCCAACAATGTGGAAGCAGGGCATCGTCACTCTCATCCATAAGGGGGGAAGTAGTACAGATCCGGCCAACTAGCGCCCGATAACACTAATTCCGGTGCTCTTCAAAATCATGTAAGCGATTGTTGCCGAAGCACTGATGAACTTCTTGAAAGAACGCAATATAATAAAACATGAACAACATGGATTTCGCAAGAACCGATCTTGCACTTCAAACTTGCTGCTTGATATATCCAGTTGGACTGAGACCGTTGGCAGCAGCGTAGGTGTTGACGCAGTATATCTGGACTTCTCAAAGGCTTTCGACCGTCTGAACCACCGTATCCTCCTTCACAAGCTGCAGTGTTGTGGAATTGGTGACCCAATCCTCGGTTGGATAGGTAACTTCTTGCTTCAACGACATCTGAATGTAAGAGTTCACGGCGTCATCTCTAACCCAACTGACGTTAATGGTGGAGTCCACCAGGGCTGAGTACTTGGTCTACGACTATTCCTGATTTACATAAACGATCTCGCGACAGTAATCACCTCCAACTCCTTACTCTTCGCTGATAATCTCAAGATATGGCGAGCCATTAGAACAACCAGCGACAATGCAGCACTTCAGGATGATCTTGACAGGGTCTACGAATGGTCGACTCAGAACCTGCTTCAGTTCAACGCTACAAAGTGCAAGGTGTTGAGCATACGCCATAAAGCCACTTGCGAATACAGACTGGGGGATCAGATATTGCAGCGCACTTCAGCGGAATGCGATCTAGGCGTGATAGTGCAGGAAGATCTGGGCTGTTCCCGTCAGGCCGAGAAAGACTCCAAAAAAGCTAACCAACACCTTGGCCTTTTGCGGAGGGCATTCGGGCGCTTCGATCCTTCCATCTTTTCTCAGATGCTCAACGCCTACATTCGGCCTCCTTCTGAGTACACCATCCACATCTGGCAGCCATGGAAAAAGCAAGACATTGCCGCTCTTGAACTGCCACAACGAATGGCAACAAAGAACGTAAAGGGCCTGTTTCATCTCCTTTACCGATTGAGGCTGAAAACCCTCGGGGTCTACAGTGGACAATATCGACGCCTGCGTGGCGACTTGATAATGACTTATATGATCTGAGGAATCCAACCCATTCTTGTCGTCACCTACTAAAGATGAGTCGCAATACAGCACTCAGAATACGCCAACTAAACCTGGCCACACAATACAGCCGGTTGGAATGCCGCCAGAATTTCTTTTCCCTTCGTGTGTACCAACACTGGAAAGCGCTTCCCACATACGTTGTATCTTACACCACGCTAACGGTATGCAAAAGACGTCTGGATGATCCGCTTATCCACTTACATTACGCTATATAATCGGAGATGTCTACGTCAAACAAACGCGAAGAAAACGGTGATCATTCTCAGCTTTTGTGCTTCACTACTTACACACTGCATTTGTGGAATATAGTTTCGGATATATTACAACTGTATTCATCAATTACCTCAGTCCAAGAATGAGGCGCGCGAGTAATCCTTGTCATTTCTTTTGTTCTTAAGACATACTTTCCCATATTACTTCCCATATTACTCTACAGTAAAAATTCAGTGCACATTATAAAATGTTTATATGAAGATGTGGCATCTGAATCGCTTGATGCTTAAATTGACGAGTTTCACATGTTTAATTTCACTCCAGCCATCCTACGGGACTTGTAAAGCAATCTTTTTTTACCTATGATATATCATTGTTCATTGATTACCGCGTATGCCTTCAACACTTCACTTTGACTGTTTTTCTTGGTATCCTGGAAGTGCTATCTTTAAGACATCTTCATATCCATATGGGACTCGGTATTTCATTTTAAGAGATCACTGAAAATGCATGAGGCTACGTTCAACATAGTTATAACAACTTTATCTACTTGGGGTGGAACGGAAACCTACACTTGAGGCCAGCATCCCATATTTCCCAGCAAAAATTTTTACTGTTCCCGCTGTCACATTGTGCTAACAACTATCCCTAGTCATCGTAGTCCACTAGTTACAGATGCAACACAGCTGAATTTTCTTGCATGAATTCTTTGGAGCTGTTCAATGTGGACTTGGTGTTTCTTTTATCGGGCAAAACTTCAACATATGCTGATTTTCGCACAGGGCACGTCTTTCCCTTCGTCACAGCTTGTGTATCTCACAGTGTAGGGAACTAGGTCATACCCTTGTTTGAATGCAGGCGTAGGCCTGATCAAACCTTAATGCAAAAGCGTACCATGCAATAAATATGTCAGACGAACCCGGTGCTCACAGACAATAGTCCAGTCAGCTGTATCCTGCGGTTCATAAACACATTTGCAAATATGTAGGATATCACACAAAGAAAGATTAGCAAAGAAACTCACCCGGCCACGTTCCACTAACTTGGTAAGCATCACTACAATCGTCGAGTTATACTCCCACACCATGCGCCAAAAGTCTTCCACTGTTTTTGCCAATGGACCTTGTGTAGCGATGTAAGCTCGGCGCTCACGATAGCCATCAACGAAGTTGGCGTTCACATAGTCAGAACCATCTACTCCGCGGATTGGTTGCAGTGTAACTCGAGTGCTCTCATAGGGAAGCACATTTAGCATACGATTTTTGTTCCGGTTAGAAGCTTGTTGAGCTGATGTGTATTTCGCATTTGGCAACCGAAACAGTTGTAATTCCTGTCAAAAACAGGGAAGTGGATAGTGTGACTGGTAAGCCTAATCAAATCATGCAAGTCATATTTCTAAACTTTACATTACAGTCAGTCCCACCTCCGTGAATGTTGCAGCTAATGTGGATCGGTAATCGCAAGTAGCAATCGAATCCCACTGGATGTCATCGAATATAGTGTTTTTGAATTAAGCACTTCCATTTCATGCTTCATGGTGTCACTACTATGGCACTGAAATCGTTATCCCCACCCAGTTCCGTCCAGTATTGACAACTTGACCGCCACCAAGGTGGTGACAATATTCCCTCCTCAAAGAAAGAGACTGTTCCAGCATAGAGAACATCAGACTGAGGCAAACAATTGTTTTTAATAATTTAACCATGGGGCGTACCGAGCATGCAAGGTTAAAATACAAAGAAATATGTGACGATTGGTTCAGACGTAGGTCGGTGGTTAGACATCCGATACTTCCTCATGTCTCATTCCCACTGATCGATCGCGGTTACTTACTCACACTGACGAAACCAGTGTCCGAGTGCTGGTTAAGTTGACTGCTGTTCGGCCAGAGTAGACAAAGCTATCGAACAAACTGTTTTGAGAACGTCAATGGGGTTGGAATATTTGGATCACAATAATTACTGCTGTGTCGAGTATTCGTACTCGCAGACATTTCGATTTGATCAGGGTTGTCTGGTAGACCACAGTAAACGTACTCTGTAGATCAACCTTGTGACCTAACTTTAATAAGTGGGACAAAATTCCGCTTGCTAAAACCCCAGTGCCTCCGTTCGTCAACCATTTGGGACCATATTCCCTAAAGTGACGTGACAATTGACGAGCAGCTCGACCAATATATGTTGGAAAACAGGTACACTCTAATCGATAGAAAATGTGAGCGGTGGTCAGCTTCAACGGTTTATCCCTGTTGCACACAAGAATAAGCAGGTTGGTGGTAAAGATCCATTGGACTTCCGCAGCTGGGCAAGTGACCTTTTTCGACCGTGGCAGTTTTCTTGTTATAAGATCCGCAATTGCATCTCCTCTAAAGCTGTCGAAAATAAAATGCTTTCTTTTCTACTACTTGCTCAACAACCTATGCTATTTTGAGCTGCATGTTGTGCTGTGTAAATCTATCTGGATGGACATTTTCACCTAGCGCGTTCTGCATGGATTTCATCTCATCCTCCATGGCATCCTCAGAACAAAACTATCTACCCCTCAGCGTGAGATAGCATACTAAATTGTGCTTGTATTTAGGCTTGTATTTGACTAGATCTTCTTAACCTGGGTAATAAGTATTCCTCTTTACTTGATTTCCTCAGTTGTTATTCTGCTACATATACCGGTGTGGCTGCGCTTGTTGCGAATGTTGACAAGGTGCCTACCTGCCTATTACTCACTACCTCGGTTATACTGGCTCCAGGTGACAGTTGGTTTTTGTTTGGAGAAACGGTGCACGGCCTTCTTGCGGTGTTAAGCTCAAAGAGTTGTTCCTGACATCCAATGTGAAACGGACTACAACCTAGCCATCGCTTGAGTGTGTGGTACGTTGTTGCACATGTTGAAGGAGTGTGGACTGACTCCGGTGATGAAACTTGGCGCCTATCCACAGGCCACTCGGCCATATTCCTTCAGGCTTACACTGGAGATTAGGTGTGTAGATGGAGCTGTGGGTGGTGCAGCGCAAGCCACCCGTGGTCCTTCTGTAGGCACAGGTGTCCTGTGGCTGTTCTATGAAGGCCACAGTGAGAGGCAAATCCGGGACAGAAGTTCGTATACTGAGCAGTCCACGTTTTTTCCCTTGATCTTCATTAATAGGAAAGCATCAGTTCGTCTACTTAGGTGCATACCCAGAAATTAGATCTGGACGTCTTGTTCAAGTTCGTAGGTGAACTTGATTGCCGGGTAAGCATTATTAAATTCTACAACTTTATTGATCACGCAAAAGATGTCGTCCATATAAGGACAGTACTGGTCGAAACGGTCCTTAAATGGACTCGATAACTCATTTTCTAGTTCGGCAAGTGAAAATACCCGTTAGTGCTGGTACGAGTGAGGAGATCATTGCGACTCCGTAAAGATGCCGTTGAAAATGAATTCGATAGTGTAAATACACATGGACATCAATTCTTTAAGGTTTGGTAAAGGCAAAACTAGCTGAATATTGTTCTTGTGCACGTAGTTACATTATTCTATCGTCTCCAGCAGCAGTACAGTTGTGATTAGAGAGGTTAAATCTAGTGAGCACAAATTACGGAATACTATCCGAATATAATATTCAGGTAACTGTTGATGTATCAAAGTTGGTAGACCCCAGTGCAACCGCCATTTCCGATGGTATGTAGAAAGATGAATTGGTAGTTCATACTTGAAGCACTTGCACACACAGGTTAGCTATCAAGGTAAGTACACAAAGCTAGAGTGTTTCATCTTAATCAGAACTATGTTGGTATAGAGACATCATTGTCTAAACAAATATACTGTCGGTAGTTACGATGCGGTATCAGAAATGCCCCGTTGATGGGTCGCTGAACACCTTCCAAACCATAAAATAATCAGTTGCTTCATTTTAAGACAATGCAGTGCAACAATTCTAAATAGAATTTATTCAGTGCGTGGAACGGAAGCAGTTTACTAAAGCATAGGAGAAAAGAGTCATCTAGATGGCAAATATCTTCACGTCGAATTTGAAACATGAATTCTTTACAAAGGGTGCAGATCCCTTGTCTTCTGAGGATAAAGCACCGCATAGTAAGTACACAGTCGCGCAGTGTTTAAAATATTTGAATAACAGTTTATTTTTCATGTATGCGAGACACCAGTGCTTAGGTTGGAAATATCAGTCTTTACTATTCGTTTATTTAAACACAGTGGAGGATACTACAACTCGAAATACTGCTTTAATGTAAAAAATAATGGTGCTCTATCGAATTGTTTCGGTTAATACGACCTACTTTTAGTTCGTCAATGCCATAATAATGAGCGTTAACAAGAGCGTGAATTGTTAATAAGTATACATATGAACTGTCTGATTGTGAAAAACTGCTGAGTAGCGCTACCAAGCACGTCAAACGCAGCTAGAACTGGAAATTCCGTGAAGGATCAATACTAATCCAACAAGGCGGTCAACTGTTGGCCCAGAAATTTTGATAATTCAGACGTCATACGATAAATACTGAGGCATAAGATGCTCTCCGCATCTTAACAATGCGTTTTTCTGTGCTGAAAGGAGTGGAATTAGAGTTCAACGACTCACCATCCAGAGCTCATACTAATATCATACTATGCAGTTTATCAAACTTAAGAAAAGCCAAGTACTTGGAATAACTTTTTAATCTTTAGCCCATGGTATCCGATGTTCGGAGAGGAAAATGGTTTTTCGATCGGTCGCAGTTTTCGACTCCCACGGTTCAGCAGTCAATACCACTTAGAGAGATGGCATGGAGTGACCAACTCGAACTCATGAATAATGCCATGATTGCAATATCGTAGACAAGCATCTAGCATTTTAAGCAGCCGATTCATAGGAGTGACGTCCATTGATCATCATATGAGATAGGATAGAATTATTAACATTATCTCTCAGCATTTCTTCTTCCGACCTTTCATCGCGACCTTAAGTAGGTTCCTTGAATCCACTACTAAACCGGATATTTATCACAGGTAGACTGGGTAAATGTTCTTAGCAGTATCATCAGCGGATGATGAGGGTATTTTGGTAAAGCAAACGGTGCTGTTGCCCCCAAAACTCATCATATTATGTGAGCTGTGAAATGCTATACGTCAGTTTCTCAGTGTCAACAAACAAATGCCTTACAAGGATTGAAACTGTGCTGTACTAGTGGAGAGTGTCCAACAAATCCTAATTATTTATTTATTTAATTTGCCCTATTCATCCATTGTGCTCTAGGCTAATCAGGCACCGAAAAATGACTAGCACATCCTTGGCACAATGCAAAAGTGAGTGAGTGAATCATAGTGAAGGTATCCTGTGAAAGGCATCCTGTGAAACCTGTGACGACTGACGCAACGAACGTTTTCCCCAGGGTATCTCTCATTTAGACAGCGCTGACGAAGAGCTATGTGAACCATACCCTGAACATACCAACTTGATATTTCAATTTATACATTAGCAGTGAACGAAGATGGCCCCAGCACGTATCGATAGCGAAAGCGAGTGAATCCGATCAAATACAAAATGGGGCAATGCCGATGCTACGGAGCTTACAGCAAATGACCATTTTAGTGCTCTCAAACATTTGATCATGCACCACCGGATGCACCAATCATCGCTCGACTGTAGTCTGTACGACGTCTGCGGGATGAACAGATGACCTGCGGTCAAGAGCGGTGTCCGATTTGGTTGAACGAAACAAAAGCAACTACTACACGGAGGCCGACATATTGCTGCTGCGGTTAGTCATGGAAGCTAATTGCTTTGCCGGTGGAGCGGAGCACTTGTTTAACATATTTGGTTCAAGGTCCACACCAAATTACAATCACTCATGTTGTGCCTCACCTTATACTCCAGCTCCATGCCAGATCCACGAGTGGAGTCCAACAATCGGAGTTTCTTCACATGTGCGATCAGGCTACGGGCAGGAACCTCCGTGTTTCCAGCGTCGATCGCCTCCAGCAGTGCAGAATGAATGAAAATGTACTGGTCTTCCGTTTGTACCATAAAATTACGTTGCGAGCGAATCGCCTTAACGCAACCGTAAATGTCAACAGTTTTCTCATATTTGATTCGTTCAAGCATTATGTCAATCACAACGAAAGCGCCTGACGGTGAACGTAAAAAGGAATGGATGCAAAATAAGCACAGGGCGGATTAGGAAGTCAACCGACAAAAATATAAAATTAGTCCGGCCGATGCGTGTGCTTCATCGACTTCACAGTAACACGGCACAAATAAAAATGAGTGAAGCCTTTGTCGCATTAGGAAAATGTAGTCGGAGCCTCGGTGAGAGTGCACTCTCACCGAGGCTCCTCTACGCTACTCTACGCTATTGCATGCCACTCCACTACGCACTGATGATGTCACCTCGATTGGTGACGAAACGTTTGCAACAAAATTGCCAAGCTCAGCGCACAGTTTAACAGCCATTTGCCAATGTGCTTGACACCATTTCGCAATGATTTCCCCTGCCCGAGAAATAATGCGAGAACACACCAGGCGGCTAGTCGAAGTCCCGAGCAAGCAAGATCGAAGTTCCATTTCAAAACTTTTGGAGCATACAGTCGTGATAATGTTTGTTGTAGACGCAAATTGAAAGCACCATAGGTAATGTAACTCAGTGTACTTTAACCAAATATCTAGCGCGTGTACGTGCAGGAATAAAGAAATGGAGAAGTGGCCAATTGTGCTTGTGTGTGTGTGTCTGTGTGTTTATAATGTGTGCATGTAGCATGGAATATCTGAACAGGTAAACTGATTACATTACATAAACACGCGCCCAGGTTTAATGGTATTTACCTTCCTGCTGGTAAGTAGAGATTCTACAGATAGGAAACTCAGGAACATTGTGCACGCCATGAGGTAAAGCGCCATTTTTATAACTATCTTATCCATTTCAACGGTCTGTACTGCTTGGTACGGTAACATTCAAATAGAGAAGTTAATTCCTCTGGGTGCAATACCAGAAAAGCTGTTACTCCTGTTCGGCTGAAAATTCAAAGGAGCTAAGGATGTCTATCAATAGCATGTGCGCAAAACAGCCTAGTACCTTTTATGAAATCGACGGAGAAGTAGAGAAACAAGCAGGATACCAGCTTGCGCAGTAAGTAGCTGAAAGTATAACGCGACACGCACTAAGTCGCTCTGGTTGTTTGTTTGTCCCTGAAAAGAGTGTCGAAATAAAACTGGTGGCTTCATGAGACACCGTGTGTAGACTATTGTGCATCCCTCTATGTCGAGAAGTATTAGTACTATTGCTCTACTAAATATCGACGTTATTTGTATACATTTTCTCTTCAGGTAAGGTGATGATTTCAGAAGGATGCTTCGCAAAGTACTAACATTGTCTACGCACCACAGCGGAATTTTCTGATTTCACGTACAAATAAATCAACCGAAATCAGATACTCTACAACTAATTCAAGCAACACACAATTCAGCAACAAACACTCTCCATAATTGGGTGGATCCGACTGGAAATCTACTTCTGGTGTATTGCAGTTTGGTGACCGATAAGTGGTTGATCCGCCAACTTTCTCCTATTTTACTCCAAACTAATGACAGTATGAATGACTAGCAAGTAAAAACATGATCCAGTTATGCAATAAAAATTGGAGATGTGCACCATCTAGTTTCGAACTTAAAATCTTCATGTTAGACGGCAAAGGGAGATTGTATTTGATACAAACCGAACGTCTCAAAAGACCTCACAACGCGCACACAGTAATGTGGTAGCACGACACAGCACGACACAGTATTGATTCGACTTAGCTGGGCTCGTGGTTTCAAAACAATCTGTAAAGTGCAGTACCACTGTACAACCTATTGCACCATTACTAGCCGGCAACCTAAACTAATAGAGTGAACTATAAAATCAGTCGCAGACTCCTGGCGTCGTAGACTACGATCGTCACCACCGATGTGTGGAAGTCTGTTTGATGCCGGCGGGTAGCGATGGCATGTTCTAGCGAATATTAGTACCTGGTTGCTTGGATCAGTAAGTGTAATCTCCCATGGTTATCGAACAATAGGATAAGGTAAATCTGTATGCATCATTGTGTATCTGTTGTGCATTGGGGCGCAGTTGTGTCGCAACTTATTTCACGTCCACAGTAAAGAAGTAAAGAGTGTCGAGGAGTTGTGTCCTTCTCCGAGTTCTGGTCAAATATCACAAATCTAACGGCATTAACCGAGCGATAGATGCAGTCAGGATTGCAGAAATATTTACAAATATGCAACTAGGAAACCGCAGGAAATTGTCGTACCAAAGAGTGGTGAATGAGCATCTATTTTACAAGCAACCGTTATAGAGTACGAGACTGTTTTCTCAGTACGAATGGTTGCCTATCGTTTCCATCCTAAAGAGAGGCAAATTAACACGCTGCGTTTATGAATGACGAGTTTCCAAAGCTTTTGCTATAATGTGTGTTGAGGAATATTTATATTTTATCGCAAGCTAATTCCAAATTTGTTGCCGATAAGCAGGTTTTGTAGTCAAATATTTGGTTTCGGCCTTACTTCGAGTTCGCAGTCGTCGACAATCAGTAGTATCAGCCATTTAAACCTAGCTTACAACTGTATGCGGTGAAATGTTTAAACCAAAGCTGAGGCTAGCTGTTTATCTGAAACTTTTACCACTTTACGGAAAACATCTGCGCATGCTCAAACAAGCGGGCAACAACCGGGCATGAAGGCTTTCTAGAGTGTGTGTTGGAGCTGAATATTCACTCTTCATGGGTGCATAAAGCGCATCTTTGACTTGACTTAAACAACGCTTCAACTAAATTTTGTCTAAAGGGTTATTAACAGAGAAGTTATGGGCAAGTGCGTATTAAATGCCAAAGTATCATAAGTGTTGCTTTGTAGTCAATAACTCGTCCTAAGCAAACGCAGTCAATGTATTCGATCCGTAAGGCAGGATATTTTAGCGGGAGCACGGATAATGATTCCAAAAGGCAGATTGGGATGCGTGGAAACTTTTAGTTTTACATTAAAACGTTTCCTGTTGGTTTAGTTATAAAAATCGACACCGTCGATGCTGTTAACTAGGGTAACGAAAAGGTGCAACACACAAGAGACATCGTGCGTTGCAATCGAAACTAACGTCAAGCAAAGGCGGTGCTCTACCTAAGCAATCGAACTCAACAACTAAAGTATTTTCCGCAAACTTACATAACAAGTCCAAAATTTTGCAACGAAAGCACAACATTTTGCAAAAAAGGCGTAAACTTTTACAAAGGTGCAAATTTTTGCGAAGAAAATGCACTTTTGCAAAACCCTGTGCTATTCGCCAGCCGCTCTGAGCCAATCCTCTGACCTCAAATGTGTACTCATCGGCCGGGTGCTTATATTACGGCCGTTCATTGATCGCAGACCAATTGTGATCCAGCGTTTCGGACGTGAAGGGGCGCATAGTAGCTCGTGGCACCGCCCATGTCCATGGACTCGAGGTTAATTCACAAGTCTGATCTAGTCAATGGGCAGCGGGCTCACATCACTTGACGTACGCATCAAACTCTAGCACCCGGCCAATGAGAATACACTTGATGTCCGAGGATTGGCTCAGAGCGGCTGGCGAATCGCATAGGATTTTGCGAAATGTTGCACTTTCTTTGAAAATTTTGCGCTTTCTTTGCAAAATTTTGGATCTTCTATGCAACTTTGCGGGAAATGCTATAGTTCAACAATCCGTACCTGCCGCGTAAGTGTACAGTGAAATAATACTTTTTGTGAAAATTTTACAGGCACCCGCGAAAATCTCCAGATTGCTACGTTACTCATGAATAAGAAAGCGAGAGTTTCATTACTCTTTAAGGCGTTTAGACTATAAGGTCCAAAGTTGCTCACTGCAAGTAGGAATGGGAATCGCCCGTACAAGTAAATGGCTTCCGGAAAGAACGCCGCGCTGCCAAGTGGAAATTAGTCTATTCAAGCTGTTACAATGGATTAGGAACACAAAATGCATGACGCATTATTATGCCATTTCATAGAGAATGACTCAGTTTAATTTCTCGAGGCAACATTTCTTGTACTGTAGTTCGCTCCGGTTAGAAGTGAACACAATAGTCTAACTAGTGACTGCTTCTCATTCAATCCATAAAGGTCAGGGTGCGATGCACATTAACCGAGAAACTGCGTTTACAAGTTGACCTATGTCAAGGTTCTGAGCAGATAGTAAAGTGAAGAAAGTTTCAGAGCACTGGATAGGCTAAATTACTAAATTACTTTTATCCTAATTGTAGTAAATGAACCCCAATCTCAAGGTTAGTGTCCACTGTTTCCGGGTAGTCAGTTATCACCTTGGACAGTTGTAGTAAACACGACGGAGCGAAATCAGCATGCTCAAGCAGTAAAGCACTTATTAATGCCAGATACCAGTTTAAAATAGGTCATCTGCCAGCATTGTGCTGGTGACAGATTCCTCATATCGGATACAAAATATTTTATGAACCATTTTCTTTTCCCCTAATAATTTGTGGTTTTTTATCGCTTAGTTTTTTTATCTAACGGCTTCAGCACGCGATTTCATAAAGGAACTGTCAGCTCGCTTCCATTAAAACAAGTGAACGTTATCCCATGATATGTCGTGACTGCGATTTCCCGGTTACTCGTCTCTTGGGTTGCGCAACGTTTTAAACTACAATCAACCAGTTAAAAGCAAAACTGACAATTCTCAAGAACTGTAGATAACAAAAGTAAACTATCCCACAGTCTATACCTACCGGTCCTTCCGACTCCGGCGGAACAATGCACAACGATGGGCCCTTGTTCAATCAAGTTTGGCTGTCCGTGTACCGATGTCGTAGAAATACTGGTTGCTAGGGCAGCACGAACCCTCCGGATGAATAGAAGCAGAGGTATAGGGTATTCAGGGACTCCATGGTCAGGCCAACTTGTGAACTGGAATTGGCGTACCTCACGACACTCATCGTCAATCCCTCTTGCCGTTACATTGAATGTTCGGATAGTATAGTATGCCAATTCAACCGTTTCGGTTGGGGTGACTGTTAGTAAACCACTGGCATACGACTCGGGTCCTCTGGTGGGCCAGTATAAATCACATTTGATTCGTGCTCGTTCTTCCAACCTGGTCATCATTACAATAATGAAAACTCGTTGCTCCCAAATCATTCTCCAGAAATCCGAGTAGGTTTCGGGCATGGGACCCTACAACCACGATGAATGTATACGTCGGGTGTATACGAAACAATGTAAGTGGGTGACAGCAACCATAGGATTAGATTGATTATGCATAAACTCTGCCCAGTTATTCATGTATCATATTGTAGCATAGCTTAAGGTATCAAGAAAAGAATATCCTATTGTCCGCCAACAAGTAAAACAATAAGCGTATTAGACCATAAGATTTCAAACAAAGCTGATCCGGTGATCATGTGTCTGTTGGGATGCTCCCTCACATCATAAGCTAGTCGTATCCATGAGCAAGCACCGGTAAAATGAATAAAGGAAATCATTAAAAACGTATATCAATGGCTTAACTGTAGCTCATTCGTTTTTACTAGGCAAATGTAGCTAAAAGTAAAGGGGAGACTTTTATGGGCATAGTAGTAGTACCTCATTCACTAACTTGGTAGTAACTGATTACTGGAAGTATTTGAAGCACCTATAAAGTAGTATAATTACAGCTTTCATTGGTCAACCAAAGTAAAATAAACGCAACAGAGTGCATGCATATAAAATCCAGGAAGTATAGTGTTGGGTTTCGGAGTACCCGCCGAGTGTCTTGGATTGTGACACACAATCTCATTTGTAGCCACGGTTGAACTTGAAGTCAGCCTCTGACATTTCGAGCACTGGGATCTTACCCGAAGTGGCAGGGTTCGATGTCGCTCTTTCCCATCACTGCAGTGATGGAGTGAAGTGATGGAAGGGAGCAACACCGAAACCCTCCGATGCAGGTAGTACTTTCTCCGTGGGTAGAGGTTATGTGATACGAATTCATGCAAAAACGTTTGTGGCTGGTTGCAGCAACTGAATATTCGCTTTTAACATCCAAACAAAAACTCGATTCTCTTGTCATCTGCTGCTGAAAAACTGACATGGTACTCGTCATCCATTTGACATTTCAACGGTAGACGTTGTTACTGCATCAATGGGTGCTAGATGGGAAAACGCATTTTGCTCCCATCATCCTAAGGAAACTGTACTACGATGGTAACTTCATAATGAATTTGCTTGTATGTCACTCGATTTTCGGGCTGTGCAGCAATTAAAGCGTGCCAATTTCAGGACAACCCCCATTCACGGTCAACCAGAGTTATGGGGCCAAATGTCAAATTGGTGTATCGCCTTAATGCCTCTAACTTTTACTTACTCTGGAATAATTCAGTTACTCGTGTTATCAAAATGTCTCTGACTAGTACACCAACTTAGTTCAAATGGTCCCTAAATCTTCCCTGAAAAGTTTACCCAAAGTTGCTTGTTTAACCTCACAAATATTGTATGTAACTACATCGGATGACGTACCTGAGTGGCGATATAGGCGTTGGGTTTCTTGTAACCATCTATGTAGTTGGCGTTGATATAGTCAGATCCGGGTACAGACTCGATTGATTGCAGAATGACTCTGGAATGATCGTAAGCGATCACGTTTGCATAACGATTCTTTGGTTTATTAACTTCCATGTTCGAATTTTCCCAAGTGAAATGCTGGTCCGTTTCGATAGATTCATATTCCTGAGAAAACAGCAGGTTATCCGCTGCGGATAGTCGGGCCACATGTTCAGCCAGACGGCCTATTGGGATTGGTTGCTTTATAGTGGTTCCTAATGAAATATACCATGAAATTGGGACTGCTCAGACAGTAGATATTGAACATTCGAATATATGAAGATGTTAATGACATAGATGATGAACTAAAAACCTATCTCATAGTTCACTTTTGAGCATTGGGTAAACTGTTTACTACGAGTCGAAGGTAAGAAATCTTGTTTCAGCTGTCACCAAGTTTGAATGTTACAATATGGACCCTGTACGTGGCTTCCTACATCGCATTCACATTCGAAACCTCAGTCTGGAAGTGAAAGTACGCAATGAGAAGATTTGTCCAGTCATGTTGTTGGTTTTAGTAGCGCATCTGTTCGAAAGTTCGTAGCCTTGCCCTTGACTGCCTCTTTGTTTCATTGTTACCCATGGGTTGTGGCACGCTGCCAATTGTTTACTGATCAACAGTTGAATATATATATATATATATATATGTATATATAAATTACTGATGAGTAGCAGTGTGGTTTTGAGACGATTCAGCTAATACTTCATCGTCACCCCCAATCAGCAGGCTTAGGTTAGTCTGGAAAAGCGCCAGACGTCGGCGTTTCGAACTTCTGGGTCTCATCAGTGCTACGCCTCCCAGCGGACCCCTGCCGGGTTCCGCCCTCATAACTTCAGGATGCCAGCAGCTAGTACCACTTCGCCATGGGTTACAGACCCGGACTTGCGTGGTTCACAGTAATATAAAATTTGTCCGTATAGCTTCTAAGTCCTAGGTCGCACATCGGCGCTATGCGGAAAGTCCTAGCTCGTGGAGCTAGCCACTGTCCTATGCAAAGTTCGTAACTGGCATGACAGTGGATGAGGCGGGCTATATATCGTAGTCAACTGTAAATCACGCGGGTCCGCGGCTGTCACCCATGGCGAAGTGGCACTAGCTGTTAGCATCCTGAAATCATGGGGGCGGAACCCGGCAGGGATCCGCTGGGAGGCGCACCACTGACAAGGTCCATAAGGTCGAAAGGCCGGCGTCTAGTGCTTTTCCAAACTAAGCTAAGCCTGCTGATTGGAGTGACGATGAAGAATTAACTGAATATTTGTGTATTTTCCTCATGCTGAGGTTGATGTTACATACATGATGCTTCTTCACCGCAGTTGAGCTAAACCGACTTACAATTAAACCAGAGCTTTTTAATTTGAATAAAACTTATTCAACTTTATTTGATTTGTTCAGTTATGTTTGTTGCCGTACCTTCTATGTCAATCGTGCGTGTTTGCTTTCCTCACATTATGTTGGTTGCTTAATATCCCCAGTGTGGTTGAGATTGACGTGAATGTTGGAAAGGTACCTACTTGTCTAACACGCTCCACCTAGATTACTGACTCCAAGAGACTGTGAATCGTTGCGAGCGTGTACGACCCTCGTGGACGTGCTAGGCTCAAAGTGTGGTTCCATTCATCCAGTGTGGAGCGGACTACGGTCCAGCCACCGCCTTGTGTACTTCTGGTACGCATGACTCTCTTCATAGATAGCTAAGGATGTCGGTCCTTTGCATATTGATGGGGTGTGAGCCGGCTCCGTCGATGAAACCTGGCTCTCAACCACATGCAATCCGGTCATATTCCTTCGGGTTTACACTGGATTTGGGGTGTATAGTTGTAGATGTGGGTGGTGCAGTGCAAGCTATCCATGGTCTCTCTGTAGACGCAAGACTCAGCATTGGGTGCTGGAATGTGTGCACACTACTGGACCGGAACTCTAGTGAGCGCTCCGAGCGACGCACTGCACTGGTCGCAATGGAGCTGGCGCATTACCATATCGATATTGCGGTGCTCAGTGAAACTCGGCTCGCTGAGCAAGGTAAGTTGCATGAAGCAGATGCTGGCAACAGATGCTGGGAGGGCAACACCACCTCAGCACCATGTGATCATGGGGTCTGATTTGCAATATCCGATAGCCTCTAAGCCAGCTGGTGGGTGAACCAACAGGCATCAGCACGCGACTGATGACTTTTCGCCTACGACTCGGCAGAGGTAAGTTTGCCACTTTTCTAAGCACGTACGGTCCGACCATGTGTTATCCTGATGACACGCGTGATCGATTCCACACTCCTCCGTGATACAGTCTGTGCTGAGGAGCGACCGACTATTTCTGCTGGGTGATTCCAACGTGCGCGTTGCGCGTGATGCTTCAGTGTGGGTAGATGTTATCGGTTCGCATGGCACTGGTTTAGCGAATGCGAACGGTGACAGGCTGCTCCCACTATGTGCCACTCACTTCCTGACGATCACGAACACTCGGTTTGCACTGAGTGCGAGTGATATAGCAACTTGGACGCGCCCACGGAGTGGTCCCGCCCACCTGCTCGACTATGTCATCATAGGTCATCGAGGTATGCGTGAAGTTCGCGTGACACATAAGTTGCGTGGAGCTGAGTGTGGCACTGATCCCAACTTGGCGCGGAACAAACTGTACATATATTTTCGTAAACCTATGTATTGCACTCCCGCCGTGTATCGGCGTAAATTTAACCTTCTCTCCCTCGGTACTGCGGAGAAACTTATTGAGCTGGAGAAGGCGATGGCTGCACACCTGTGTGATGTGGCCTGCATAACCACAGTGGGCGACTTGTGGCACCACATTTGCGACCATTTTCGCGGCAGCTGCTGCCGAGGAGACCATCGGGCGCGCAAGCTGTAAGTAGCCTGATTGTTTTGAAAAGGACAAGGCGACGATTGGCGCATTGGTGTGAGAAGAATGCAGTATTTACTGCGCATGTGGCAGACCCCAGTGACTTGGGGAAGAATAGTCAGTTTCGCAGAAAACTTCGGCGACTGAGCCGGAGAGCTACGTCGCTTAAAAAATGGATGGTGGACGGAGAAGGCGAAGCAGATGGAAAACTACGCCGAACGCCGTCAACACAAGGAATTCTTCGACTCCTTGAAGGCGGTGTATAGACCGAGATTGGAGCATCTGAGGACGCTGATCGATGGTAGTTCAGGCGCTACGTGCACACAGACTGCAGACATAATGGAGATCTGGCGAAATCACTTTGACTGTCTCTTGAACAACCGTTCAGAGATCGATTGGCCTACATTAAACGGCCTCAAGCAGCACGATGTAAAGACGAGTTTGGCGGACACGCAGACTTGGATGAGGCGCAGAGAGCATTTGCGCAGCTGCGAAACGGCAAGTGTGCCGGGGCCGACGGGATCCCGCCTAAAGTATTGAATCATGGCGGACCCGCCTTGGTGACCGCACTACACCACTTGTTGCAACGCGTGTGGATTGAGGAGGAGGTGCCTCCTCAGCTGAAGGATGCCCTTGTGCTACCATTGTACAAGGACAAAGCTAGCGAGCAATGTTGCACTAATTATCGTGGCATCAACTTGCTGAGTTGTGTGGGCAAGGTGATTGCCCGAATCCTGCTCAACCGCCACGTCAGTCAGGTTGTGGAACCTAACGTGGCGGAAGAGCAGTGTGCATTCCGCTCGGGTGGTAGCATTATAGATATAGTGTTTGCGGTTGGTCAGTTGCAGCAGAAGTGTAGAGAACGACACCAGCCTTTTTACTCGCTGTCGTTGATTTCACCAAGGCATTTGATAAGATGAACCTCGAGGCATTGTGGCTGGTGTTGCGTAAGTTTAGTTGTCCGAGTAAGTTTGTTAGTTTAATTGAATGTCTGCACAGTGGTATGCGAGCGAGGGTGCAGCTGAGTGAAAAGACCTCGGATGACTTTGCCGTTGTCTCTGGTGTGAGGCAAGGCTGTGTCTTAGCTCCTGCCATGTTTCATATTTATCTTCATGCAATGATGTCTTGTGCTTTTGATGCCGCTTGTGCTTACGGTGTTCGTGTAGAGCACCGTATTGTTGGTGGGTTGCTGAACATCCATCGTTTCGGTGCGAGAACTCTAGTCTGTGAGACAACTCTCCGTATGCTGCTGTTTGCTGACGACTGCGTTGTTTGCACACAGCGCGGATGAATTTCAGCGCATGACAAATGCTCTGGCTTCTACAGCGGCCAAATTCGGGCTCACCATCAACACAAGCAAAACTGTCTATCTCTTTCAGCTTTCACCGGAGGTGCAATCTCTAGTATTGCCGCGAATCAGCATTGGTGCTGAATTATTGGAAATTATCCGAAAACTCCCGCTTCTGCTACCTTGGGAGTGTGATGTCAACTGATCAGCAGCTACACAGTGAGCTGCGTATTCGCGTGCCGAAGGCAGCGGCAGCATTCGGGAAGCTTGAGTACCGAGTGTGGAACAACCATCAGCTTAGCATTGGCACGAAGCTGATGGTGTACAAATCCATGGTACTGTCCGTTCTTCTATACGGTAGTGAAAAGTGGAGGATATACCGGCTGAAAGTGCGATATCTCGAGCGTTTCCATCAGCAGTGTTTGCGACGGATTCTACGCATCGGTTGGGGCGACAGAGTTGCTGACACGGAAGTGTTGCGACAAAGTAGGATATATGCAGTGAACTGCATACTTTTGCTTGGACACCTGAGGTGGCTAGGTCAAGTGAACCGTATGGATTCGACGCGGATACCGAAGTAGCTATTATATGGTCAGCTGAGTGTTGGGAAGCGGCATGTGGGGAAACCAAAGTTATGTTTCCAGAACATGATCAAAGTGAGCCTCTCACGTTGTAATCTTGATTTAAGGTCATGGGAATCAAAGGCGGTTGATCGGCGTGCATGGCGCGATCTGATCACGAAGGTAGTTGCCGAAGTGCGGGAGAAAGATCTCATTTATGCAGAGAAGAAGCGGTAATTGCGGAAGCGGCAAGCACCGATGGGTTGTACTCCATCGACATAGAGCGCATGGTGCTGTAGCACATGCGTTCGCGAGTGTCTGAGTCAGGCAGGCCTAATGAGCCATGAGCGAGGCCAGCCGGGACCACTACCGAAGCGACGACGGGTCCTGCAGAGAAGGTAGGCAGAACCGGCGCAGCGTTTGTAAGCACGCTGCATTCGATTTACTAACCGAGTACTTGCATGCTAAGTCTCTTTATTTCAGGTGGTGGGTTTTCAATTTTGCATTGACGCTTTC